TGAAGGGAAGGCAGAGGAATGGGGAAAAAATAAGAACCAAGAGAGATTATGTAAAGGTGCAAATTTCCAATGATGAATGTCATTATATTGTATCCTTAAATGTACCAATAAAATTAATTTTAAAAAATCCTCCTATATAGAAAGACCTAAACAACAACAACAACAACAACAACACACACACACACACACAAAATATTAGAATAAACAAGTTTATTAAGGTTACAGAATACAGGATCCACATGCAAAAGTACACAATTTTATTTCTATATTTTGTCAATAACCAATCCCCCAAAATAAAATCAGAAAAAGCCTCATTCCTAAGATAAAGAGACTAAAACATTTATAAAATTTAATAAAGGAGTACAAGAAAGCAAAATAAAAATTTCCAAGAGAACTAAAGATCTCTATGGAAAGATACAACCATGATCATGAATTAAAATATTCAATATTTAAAGGTGGCAATTCTCCCCAAATTGATTAGAGATGCAACAGTATACCTATCCAAATTCCAGTACCCTACTTTGCAGAAATTGACAAACTGATCCTAAAATAAGGAAATGAGGAAATGCAAGGAACCCAGAATAGCCAATATAATCTCAAAAACATAGAAGAAATCTGGAGGACTTAAATTTCTTAATTTCAAAACTTACTAAAAACAGGAACTATGAATGTCTCTCTGAGAAATGCCTACCTTTTCTGGAGAGAAGCAGAGAGTGGTGCAGCTCTTCCACCAAAGCCACCTAAGCCAACGATTTCAGCAACTACAAATGGAATGAAGGACAGTTTCACTCCTCTTCAAGATGCAGAATGGTACTGGGGGGATATTTCCAGGGAGGAACTAAATGACAAATTATGGGACAGCCAGATGGTACTTTCTTGGTCCGTGATGCCTCAACAAAAATGCAGGGGGATTATATTTTGACTTTGAGAGAGGGAGGCAACAAGTTAATAAAGATTTATCATCGGGATGGTAAATGGCTTTTCTGATCCTTTGACATTTAATTCTGTGGTGGAGCTCATTAACCACTATCATCATGAATCTCTTGCTCAGTACAATCTCAAGATTGATGGGAAGCTGATGTACCCAGTGTCCAGGTACCAACAGGATCAGTTGGTAAAAGAAGATAACATTGATGCAGTAGGTAAAAAACTACAAGAGTACCACTCTCAGTATCAGGAAAAGAGCAAAGAATATGATAGGCTATATGAAGAATATACTAGAACATCTCAGGAAATACAGATGAATAGAACTGCAGTTGAAGCTTTTAATGAAACAATTAAAATATTTAAAGAACAATGTCGTACACAAGAACAACGTAGCAAAGAATATATTGAGCGATTTCACAGAGAGGGGAATGAAAAGGAGATTGAACGAATTATGAATTATGATAAATTGAAATCACATCTGGGTAAGATTCATGATAGCACAATGTGTCTAGAGCAGGATTTGAAGAAACAAGGTTTGGACAACCAAGAAATAGATTTAAAAAATGAATAGTATCAAACCTGACCTGATCCAGCTGCGCAAGATTTGAGATCAGCATCTTGTATGGCTCAATCACAAAGGAGTGAGACAGAAGCACCTGAATGCATGACTTGGAATCAAGAATGAGGATGCTGATGAGACCTGTTTTATCAGTGAAGAAGATGAAAACCTGCCACATTCTGATGAGAAAACCTGGTTTGTTGAGGATATCAATCGAGTACAAGCAGAGGACTTGCTTTATGGAAAACCTGATGGTGCATTCTTAATTTGTGAGAGTAGCAAGAAAGGATGCTTGTTGCCTGTTCTGTGGTGTAAGTTCTTTGGGGAAAATGTTTTAGGAAAAATGATATCTAAAATTATCTTGGGGATTTAAATTTATATGTTAAGCAAATTAGACCCTGCAATTGTTGATGTTAGATTTCAGATATCTGTGAGACCTTAAACTGAGAAAAAAAAATCTGCTTAATTCTTTAGTAGTTTCCTGTTCAGACTAGGGAAGGCTTGATTAAATAGAACTGTTTTTAGGACTGGGATTTAGCTCAGTGGTGCTGAAGCCTGCCTGGCAAGCACAAGGTCCTGAGTTCAATCCCCAGTAC